TGGTTGCAGCCATCATTGTTGTTTGGCGGGCCCGGGCTGGGGATTCGAACCCGCCACCTTAGGTGTATGTGGCTGGCGCCTTAGCCGCTTGCGCCGCAGGCGCCGAGCTGGTTCTGTGAAATTTTAGATGATTCTGCAGATACATTTAACTATTATGCATATGGAAAAATAAAACAAAAACTGAAACCTCCTCTGCAACAGTTCTGAATTATTTAGTCTGTTTGTATGTAGGCCTAACAAAACGGTGGATAAAGAATGGTGCATCTTGCTTTAGTCAAACTGTCAACAAGAACCAAAGTGGCAGGAAGATACCCAGAAACTTGAAATCCATTCTTTAATGTTCTGTTCTTTGCAAAACAGATATGACAAAAAGAGTGAAGGTGACATAACTGATTTCCCCATCCAAGGGCCCAGCTGACCTGTGGCTGTGCAGGGGAAGGGGCGTCAGGGTGCTGGATGAGGATCTGGCTCTGCTCTGGTCGGGCTGTCACCATAGTGCTGGCAGTACCCACCACCATTCCACAACCACCATTAATTGAGGAGACCTGGTGGGTTAGGGTAGCTTTTAGCCTCTGTGAGGAAAGAAAAAACTTGTCAAAGGTGATATTCTGTCAAAGATGAGAAGAGTGGGCTTAAATTTTATTATTTTATTATTAACCTTACAAATAGCTAAAATCTCCACTCCAATTTTCCCTTAACAGAGAAATTAAAAGAAAATAACAGGGAGAGAAAATGTACACCTGGATCCCTAAAATCCTACTCTGTTCCCTGGCTATCATTCTGGGCACAGTTGGGGGTGGGAGTTGTTGAAGCAAGAGTCCAGATGAAAGCTCTCTTTTGGAACCAGGCCAGAGGCTGGTTATGCAGCTATTCACCTCTTGGCCAGCTCCCCTACCCACTCACCAACCCTCCATCTGTCGCTCTGGAACTAAAACAGCAAGCGTTCCATTCCAAACAATCTGTGCTGCCTCTTTTCACTGCCATGGTCTATGTACCAGGCTCTAAAGGTGGAGAGAGGAGATGAGAGTCATGAATCAGGGTCTTTTCTTTTCCAGACCCCATAGCAGGATGTGCATAGTTTTGAACCCCAGAAGGTTCTTCTGCTTGGCACATTTGAAAAACCTAGGCTGAGCCACTTATTTCAGAAAGGCCAACATTGCCCCAGGCTGAGATGTACTCACCATCTTGGCTTCTGATGGTATAGGGTGGCCAGAGGGAGAAATGGAGCCACTGCTGTTTACTGGTGGGCCAGGGATACCAGGAATGTTGGGCACCATGGACACAGGTCTGGCCAGCTGGATCAAGAGAAGAAAGAAAAACCAGAAGGGGACATAATACTATCAGTGGGGCAACAGTTTTCCCAAAATGAAATACTTTTGATATTGGCATGTCAGGGCCTGTTCTATGCAACCCACCCACAGGGCACACAGGGATAGCCTGGGAGCTATGGTTCCCAATGGGAGCACCACAGGGTAGGGAATCTAATCTTTGAGTGCTGAGACAATTTCTGTGGGAAAGGCTGGGGCCTTGAGGAAAGTGGTGGGCAATCTGGGAGGTGCTGTGTGCCAAGTGAAATTGACCAATCAGTGGGGCTGGCAAGATCAATTCCTAGACCTATAGCCAATTGTGCAGATGAGTCTTTGTCTAGTGTTCCATAGTGTGGGATTGGCAGAGGTTAGTGTGGAGTTTGGACAGGCTGCCATGCTCAACTAATAACAACTAAAGCCCACATTTCCTGGGGCTCATGTGTGTTTATGACCATTCAGGTAGGAGGGAGGGATTACTATGATGGTGGGGTTGGCTGCCCCAACTAAAAGCTCACCGATATAACAGAAGGCATCTGTACCGGAGGCCCTGGCAGCACAGGCATTGTCTGTCCATTAGCAAGATGCATGACAAGGGGGAGGGAGCCAGTGGGAGACCTAGAAGAGACAGGAAGTAAAATCTCATAATATTGACCATTTGTTCATAGATCTTTCTTCTATAATTATAGCAGAATTTCTAGTCTTCTCTAGTAAGGGGAAGTATAGGTCAGCATCGCAAATCTTGACACCCTTATGAGGATGGCAAAAGCAGGGAACACTACTTAATTTACTGCACAGATGGAAAGAAATGACAAAATCCTTATACTTTGCAAATTAAGCAAACTCAAATGGTAGGAAGCTAATCCTATTACAGGTGTAGAACAATTAAATAAACAACCCAACCACTGGCATGTATTATATAAACTGTCTTGCCTTAGGCAAAGCAGAGTTGGATCAAAGTTGTTTTGCAAAACTGAATGATGACATACGATGGCCAAATTTGAGTAAGTTTCTCTTGTTCTTTTCTGTGTTTTCTTCTAGGATGCCCCCAAAAGAAGCTGGCCTTTTTCTATTTTTCCTAGTGGGCTGAGAGAACAATAAGCTCTAGGGAGATGAATCCTGACAACCATCTCTAATGCACTGGTTCTTGTGGACAAGTTCTTATGTCATCCCATCAGGAAATCTGTCTGGGCCATGACAGGAGTGAAGAAAACAAAATTAGGGCTAGCAAAGACCAAGAGCCCTAACGAGGACTGAGGGAATCACTAAACTTAAAGAAAATGACTTAATGCCTGTAATCCTAGCACTCTGGGAGGCTGAAGTGGGTGGACTGCTTGAGCTCACGAGTTCGAGACCAACTCAAGCAAAAGTGAGACCCCCATCTCTACTAAAAATAGAAAAACTGAGGCAAGAGGATCGCTTGAGCCTGATTTAGAGGTTGCTGTGAGCTATGACACCATGGCACTTTACCCAGGGCGACAGCTTAAGACTCTCTTTCAAAAAAAAGAAAATGACTTAATGGGTTTTAGTCTTGAATTCAGTAGTGCCCCACTGAAGTAGACTTCTAGAGGAGTGCGGACTCCACCATTGTGATGAACTTCCTAGGTTTGAACCTATGAGCCCTGGTGTATGTTGCTGGTGTCCTAACCACTGAGCTATGTGTGCCGAGCCAATAATCCCTGTTTTATCAAGTAATTTCACAAATGGGAAAGAAATGCAGCCTTCACTATTCTCCGTGCTTTCTTTACTTACCCCATTTGCCTGTTGGATGGTGGAGCCTGTGTGATGACGGAGGTTGGGGAGGGAAGGGTTGGATGAAGTGGATCATACCCCAAGTGGAGAGGCAGGGAGCCAGGACGTACAATGGTGGGTGTGGGAGTAGAAATTACCACAGGCTTTGGGGTAACCTCCTGGGAAGAAGAGACAAACAGATCACAGAATGCTTTAAGTGGTACTACAGGGAAATATATAGTCAGTAAAACCTAGTACAAATTTACTAAAAAGAGTATCTGAGTCACTTATACAGAGTATGACTTGATTCTATTTATCATGGTCAGGGACCCATACCTCACTCATTCAGTAGGAATGCAGAGTTAAAATTAAGATCTCGGCTTGGCGCCTGTGGCTCAAGCGGCTAAGGCGCCAGCCACATACACCTAAGGTGG